TGGGAGCAGGTCGGGGTGAAATAGATTTTAAGGTTGCGGTAATAGAATAATGTAAAGATGTGAATATGAAGACCGCATGGCACTATGATAAACACGATATAGAAATGAAAGATTGATATTTTGGTTTTGTACAGGGCATAGAAGGAAGCACAGCGATGGGTGTGACTCAGGTTGTCACCACCAGTGTAGGAATGACAGATATCGATATCCGTGCTGTAAGTACATGTAAAGTGATATTAATAAACGCCGTATTGATTGTAGTCTCGTCGCAGCCATGCTTAGTTTCGGTCACGCGTCACGCAACTTCTCCACAGAGGTTGCGTGACGCGTGACCGAAGCTAAGTACGGCTGTGAGGAGACTAAATTGATTGATGTTTTACTGACTAACAGCTGAATTGTTTTTGATGTTTCAGGGTCTGTTTAATAGTGTGATAGTAACTGGTGGTAACACATTACTGTCAGGATTTGTAGAGAGACTTAATAGAGAGCTTTTGTCTAAAACACCACCGGTACGTCAATTCGCTTTTCCTTTCTGTATTCCTTAATCGCCAAGTTTCATTTCTCCCATCTTTCCTCCCTCCCTCCTTCCTTCCACTCCCTCTTTTCTTTCTTCCTCCTTCCCTTCCTTCTTTCCTTCATAAATCCCATTCCTAACTCCATTCTCTCTCCTCTCCTTCCTTTCTCTTGCATTTCTTTCATCCTCCCTTCTAACTCCCCTCCCCTCAAAAATACATTTAAAGGGAGAAGTCCACCAGCATCCCTTTCGAGCTTTTGTTTATGTTTGAAAATACAAAACATCGTAATATAATTAAAATCTTACTCTTTATTATAGCCTGTGTACATCCGTTTCTCACCCCTCCAAAAAAATTGTGGTTGATAAACTGATGTACACAGGCTATCTTTATTATCCCTTTATACTATATGAATGGAACTACTGTAAGATCCGCCCTTTAAACCGATGGATGGAAACGGATTTCGAATGGATATTAGAAGTCACCTCATTTTCCATATATGAAAAATCTAAAACACGACCGCATTGAATGCTGGTGGACCATGGCCCTTTAAGCTGCTTGTAAGCTGTGTTTCAAAACGGCACTTTCTCACCTAGTAGATCGTAGAAAGCATTCGGTCAACAAATAAACTCACATGTCCATTAGAGCGGATTTCGTATGACTGTGTAAAGGCACAGATCACCTCACGCATACGAAACCGTAACAGAACCTCACCTGGTGTCGCAAAATAGAATATTGGCTCAAAAACACATCTCCGGCACGGCACGGCACGGTTACTGCTCGAAAGTCATACGAATTCCACTCTAATGTCTGAACATTACGCGTGAGTGTTACTGTAGAGTGGGAAACTGTAGAGTCAATTTCGTATGAGTGGGAAACGGACGGTACTGTACTGTGACCGTAATCGTACTGTAACCAAATTCTAGTGCCCCATTGGTTCACCAAAATTGTGCAGGCCAGGTGCGGTAACTGTGCGGTAACCGTGCGGTAACGGTGTCCCACTCATACGAAATCCGCTCTATNTCAGACAATGCCTATTGTTCTACTGGACACCTTCGTTTTTTGTATTGCCTGTCTCTCTTAGGTATTTCATCAAATCACAATCTTTGTCCTAACAGCAGTGTACACCCCCGGAGTTAAGTCAAACGAATTTCCACACTCTATCAACAGTCAAAGTTCCTATAATGTAATTTTTTGACTAATCGAGTAGATGTATTACATGGTCGCTTTGAGAAAAAAGCGTAAAAAAAGACTTTTAAGGTGATATTTTAGGATATTTTTTTATAATGAGCATGAGGACTTCAACTACCATAATGCTTTGCTGCACAACATGGCGTCGCTGCACATTGACGATTCGTTGTAGCACGGTTGTCATGGAAAACACTCTATCACAATTTCTTTG